CAAGTAACAAGATTTTAAAGTCTATCCTTTGACACACAGGAAGCCAGTGCAGTGACTTAAGCACTGGTGTGATGTGCTCCACTCTCTTGGTGTTGGTGAGGACTCTGGCAGCAGCGTTCTGGACGAGCTGCAGTTGTCTGATTGATTTTTTACTCAGGCCTGTAAAGACACCGTTACAATAGTCCAGCCTGCTGAAAATGAAAGCAAGAACAAGTTTTTCTGTATCTTGTTTAGACAGAAATTCTTTTATTCTTGTTATGTTTTTAAGGTGGTAGTAGGCTGATTTAGTAATTGTCTTAATGTGACTATTGAAATTTAGGTCTGAGTCCAGAAGTACACCAAGATTTCTGGCTTGATTTGTAGGTTTTAGTGTCATGGCGTCAAGGTGAGCACTGACTATTGATCTTTGTTCTTTGGGGCCAAAAACAATTATCTCAGTTTTTTCTGTGTTTAGTTGTAGAAAATTCTGGCACATCCACGTATTGATTTCGTCAATGCACTTATTTAGTAAATATAGGGGACTGTAGTCATCTGGTGACACTGTTATGTAAAGTTGTGTGTCATCTGCATAAGTATGGTAGGAGATGTTATGATATTCCATAATCTGAGCAAGAGGGAGCATATAGATGTCGCACAGAAGAGGCCCAAGAATGGACCCTTGAGGAACTCCACATGTAATCTTTGTTCGCACAGATTCATAATTGCCAAGTGACACAAAGAAATCCCTGTCTTGTAAATAAGATTTAAACCAATTTAGCACAGTGCCAGAAAGTCCCACAAACTTTTCTAGTCTGTCAGGTAGTATGTTATGGTCAACTGTGTCGAATGCAGCACTGAGGTCCAGTAATACCAGAACCGAAATCTTTGATGCATCACTGCTCAGATGAATGTCATTTAAAACTTTTACAAGTGCAGTCTCAGTGCTGTGATGTGCTTGAAATCCAGACTGAAAGGCATCAAAGGAATTGTTCTGCTCCAGCAAAGGTCTCAGCAGAATTTAGCAGGAAGTTCATCAAAACGAAGGCACCATCAAAAATGCACCATCGCTGTTTAAATCAAACGTCTGGACTTATTTTGGATTCTTTTTTTTTTTTCTTTTTAAGATATTTTTGGGGCATTTTTAGCCTTTAATGGATAGGACAGTAGAGTTGGGTCAGTTCTCGGTAATACCAATTCGGTTCGGCAGTCCGTCTTGGAGCTTTTTTTTTTTTTTTTGAGACTGACCGGACCGCACACGTCATTTAACAACATACTCGGGCGGAACATACGTGGAGCGGACTCCGCGGAGGTTCACCCAGACTAAAAGCAGATGTCCGCAAGCTCTGTGCACGCAAAGCTCAGATTGTACGACCGTGCGGACTCCGCTCCGCGCACCAATGTCACACAAAAGACTGCTCGGCATGTGTTTTTCACATCGCGGGGATTTTTCACGGACATTTTTTACAG